AGAAACATTAAGACTTTGGTACTGGTACTAAATATATTTCGTGTTTATTTACCATTATTTTTTTTAATTGAGACGTTCCAAGTCAAGTGCCTGTGTGCCCCAAGTTGATGCCCAGTCGTGAAGGCGTTCCAGGTCCCGCTGGAGCTCTATCAGTCTTAGCTCTAGTACTATAGCCCGCGGATAGCTGCCGCAGGCCTGCTATAGTAGGTATAGTAGGCCTGAACCGGCCTGCGGCAGCTATCCACGGGCTATAGTACTAGAGCTATATCAGTCTATGATCTTGATAACCTTTAGTAAGTTTCACATATTCATAGATTTCAATCTTATAGTCTTCAATATAGTCTCATGGACTTTGAAGACTATTATGTTACTACGAAATTACGATGTTACGAGGAGGCGCATTGACATTTACAATGTAAACAACAATGTTCACTCATTCACGCAAACATTTTATGCATGCTCACTTGAAATTGCCTGCGCACTCGAAAGTCGAAACTCCAAACTCGTTCCAAAATTGACCGCTCTTTCGCTGGCGGCGCCACCGTCTAATAGGACTAAGAAATTATGACTATTTCTTACACTAGATGGCGCCAAAGAGTCATATTTGAAAATTAAATTTCAAAAAATATGACTATTTTTTACACTAGATGGCGCCAAAGAGTCATATTTTATCATGGAATTTCTTAGTGTCGTCCATAGTCGTCAGTGTCATTGGATGGTAGCGCCGCCAGCGAAAGAGCGGTCAATTTTGGAACGAGTTCGGAACGTCGAGTGCGCAGTTTCAAGTGAGCATGCATAAAATGCTTAGTAATAGAGACATAATAATGTAAACAAACTAGCTAGCGTGTTGAAAATGGCCAATTTCTTGTTGTTTTCTCGACTGATTTTTGAGAACTGAAGCGGCGACTGTTTTATTTTGTTGTATTGTATATTGTATTGTATTGTATGCCTAAGCTTTCAGTAAGTATGTATTGCCACTATTGGTTTCGGGCCCTAGCGAAAAGAAGGGTACTGTAGACGTCTACACACACAAGTTACAACTTCACAAGTCTGTCACAAGTACGGCTGGTGATATAGTATACTGTATAGGGCCTATAGGCTATAGGTGTTGAACAACAGTAGAGGACGTCCATAGGCTACAGGCCTGAATAAGCATCGAACAGAAATTAATTAAAAATACGCACACTGTTAATGCGCTTACAAAACATACACTTTATTCATGTTAAATAACTACAGATTCGTGCTCTATGCTCCGCTCGAAACTTTTGCCAGCTCTATGATGCGAATTTCTACAGAGTAGTCGGATCCCGTTTCATACACAAAAATGGCCGACCGGCGACCATGGCTACGCCACTAGCTGGAATGGCACAATTACACAACATGAATAATTTTACTTCTAATGCATGCTTTCTAGACGTCCACGGGGCATCTACCTTGCGTGCATAATGCAAATTATTGCACTCTAGTGCCGAATTTCGGCGAAAAAAATGCCAAAAAAGGCCTTTTCTAGAGACGAAATAGTGCAACGGTGAACAATTGCGGAGGCTTACTGTTGTATGCCTCCTATAGCTATACATAAATATATACCCGGTACATTTATGTGTCAGTGTGCAGCAGCTAGCGTGCGGCAGCCAGCGTGTGTTGCAGATGAGCATTTGGACGACATTTACAGGAAATTGTCGGCAATAATAGGTGAAAGAGAGTAGGCCTAGAGAAACATTAAGACTTTGTCTTTGGTAGTAAAGCTCAAGAGGTCGTTGTCGTATCAGGTGCTACAGATCTGATATGTACCCGAGGTACATATATATGTATACACAAAGTGTACCAGACTTGTACTACAGAAGTGTACCCTAAGCCTAACACTAACCCTAACCCTAAACATACCGGTACCTCATATAATGAAAGTGTCAATGACACTGTAGCTCACCACAAAAAAGGACACAAATGAGTAAGAAGAAGTCAGTTTCAATTGAGCAACCATCGACGTACATTATAGAAACGATTGCCATCTGTATATCGCAATAATAATTTATAAACCAAAATGAATCACAATTTGTGACCGTAGATGGCGCTATACCCGCTTTGTAGCGATGCCGTTTGAAATAAATAGGTTTTGCTGCGTTCCGACATGTTTTGTAAATCTTTACTCTAATATAGACGTTTTATTTGGCAGGGTGGAGAGGAAATACCAATTTTGCATTAAAGATATTGTCAATGAAATCTTGTAAAACGAACCAGACGAGTGTGACACCACAGACTGTTTGTGTCTATATAATATGCTATATAATTGCCAAACCCTACCTAATTTGCATAATTTTTTTTAAATGTCAAAACCCCTAGCCCTTATTCATTCACATACCAAAAATGAGCAAAATCCGTTAAACCTGAACTGACTAATGGCAATTCCCATTTTTGCCAAAAAATTGCCGTGGCTCGAAAGTACGTCGACTGGCGTGCTTCAAAATAGGACGTTTAATATGGGAGCATAGCAGTAACAACTATACTCCCAATTTCCACAAACAATGTGGCCAAACGGTTCCTGAGTTTATCGTTAGACCGGAAAAGCGAAAAAAAAAAATGTTTTTTGGAAACGGACAGGACGGACAGTACGAACGGACGACGACCAGTGGCAAGTAGCTCAGCGCTTGGATGTCAGGTGAAGCTAAAATAATAATAAACATAATACTAAACAACCTAAACTACCATCTGGTAGCATATCTGTAGTAGGCTGATATGACAACGACCCCATCTGCGGTAGTAAATAGATTTCGCATTCATTTAGCATTATAATTTTATTGAAACGCTCACAAGTGCCTGTGCTACAAGCTGAACCAAACAGTCCATCACAAAAGACCAGATAATGTGGCATACAAACAAGCAACGAAAAGTGGCTATATGCCTGCGGCAGCCGAGCACGTCCTTCGATTTCCTCAAATGCCCGCAAAGTTTTTAATTTTCGGATGATTTCTCAAGTAAACAGCGAGGGTTAGGGTTAGGGTGGCCGGCTGCCCGGCATATAGCCACAGGCTAACCAAGCAAAAGAGCTACTTGGTGACCATCTGTGATTCGAGAATATCGCTGTGTTTGGTGCACATGTCAGATCGCTGTGATTATACCCCGGCGAGGCACTTCTCATTCATATCGGCTTTTCTAGGAAAGGACTAGCTGTCCGAAGATAAACTCAGGAATGATAGCCACGTTTCGCAAGGCAGCCGAGGTGATTCATACATTTCAATGAAAGTCAAGCGGCAGCTATTGGACAAAATTCACTCTATGGTAGGTGAACGAGACATAGAAGAAATTAGAATCTTCAGATGAACTTGAGAATTACCAAAGCGTTTTTGTGAACAAGCGTCATGAAGAGCAATAGTCCATCGTAGCAAGCCACGAGACACGCGTACTGCGTCCATCACAGCAGCGGGCAAGGTACGCACACGCTGTCGTGTATGTAATTACGCAAGCGTGATGGAATGGAAAGAAGAAGTTAAAATGACACTGGATGAATGGGGATGGCGAGTGGTGGACAATAATAAGCTAGTTCGTAGTTAGCCAAGGGGTGTGTGACGCTCTAGCAGGTCACTGGTCATTTGTTGACAAAATTGGATGAAATCTCGTGAGTGCGGCAAGAAAGCTCTCAGGTTCAGTACGTATATATGTAACATGTATCTGTGTACGTGTACACACGCATTGTTTAGTGCACGATGCAACGTGTACGTGCACACGCCAGCAGGCACGCACGCACGGACGCACGCACGTGTACGTGCACACGCGCGCACGTACCCACGCACGTGTACATGAACACGGGAAGACTGTAGCATTACAACGACACAGATACATGCGTATGTGTACTGTACGGTCGAAATACGAAATATTTTGTCACAAATTACCTGACCCGGAAGAATCCGTGGCAAAGTTCGCGTATGCGCAGACTGTAACTACGAACTGGCTTATTACCTGCCAATACTGACTGACCTACCTCCAGCACCATCAGAGCTTCTAGACATTATGTATTGTGGTTGTGAGAAGGACTGCTCTTCAAGAAGATGCAGCTGCAGGAAATACGGCATGTCTTGTACAGCAGCCTGTACGGAGTGTCGTGGCACAAGCTGTGCTAACACGTAAATACCTGACACCACTATTGAAGACTGAAGAATGAACTGCAATATAATGTCCTTGCTATGCCGAGTATATTTGAAAAAATTTGCAGTCCAAAGTCTGCTCTCACAAAGATACACATACCTTACACTGAAGTCCTGAGAAAGTGATAATTGTCAACAGTCACCAGTTGCAAAGCTGCACCGACCACATTTCAAGAAATAAGCAAATGCATAGTAAACATGTACTAAATTCTATTGATGTCTGATGTCGACGGTCGAAAAGCGTGTGTTCGCATCGAGTATATTTCGATGACGAGTCTTGGTTTCTTGAAAAGAGAAGGGGAGTGGAGATCATCCTGGGAATGTCCAAGGGAGCTCACAGCATGCACTCAGATCATGTACGTGCGTATTGACATCTTGTGGCGCTTCCAAAATGTCACCGTCGTTTTCCACAAGTTACGCCGAGCTGACGTATACATACACATACACATACACGCACGCACGCACACACGCACGCACGCACACACATGGTTGTTGTTATATAGCCTGATGAAGAGACATACTCTTGAAAGCTCGCAATTGACACCTCATTCCTTTTTCTATATCTACACGCGTCCGTGTTTTTATAAGTTAATATATAAGTTAGTTTCAAACCGTTAGTTGACCACAACCTATAGGTATGCTGTCAGGTACCTCATTAAAACATTTTGATCAGTTTTTTGGCTAGTGCGTATAATTATGTGGAGTCGGGAGTCATAAACAGCAGACATTCTATATACGACCAAATTCAACGGACTCAGACAGATTTAATTCGATTACATACACATTAACAACAAACAACATCATTCTCTGGCATTTGTTTAAACGTATATTAACTTGAAATTGTTCGTTTACCTAATAAATATTTTCTAACACATCTTTATCATTCGAGTCATATGATTATGTTCTCTGTAAGCATAGATGCATGACATGGAGTATCGTTAGTCCAGAACTACGAAGATTCGCGACGTTCATTTTCCAATAATCTAAATATTTCATGACATTCAAATATCCAACTGAACACATATCTAGAGTACTATATATTTCACTAATAAAGAATTCCAATAGCAGATTCACTAAGAGAATGCTGAAGCTAGACGAGCTGCAATGGCAACGGTTACTGCACTACAACCATGATAAAAGATAAATCAATATAAATCCATTTTAAAAATCTGCTGACATTTATGGAAATGAAATGATAGAATCATACCACGATCATAGCTTGATATTGATTCTATAGCGCACTTGATCACTTGGGTTAATAAAATGGGTTGACAGATAATTACATAACCACAAATATTTTGGAGTTTTTGAAAGTGAAACCTTTGTTGAAAGTCAATGGCAAGATATTCTTTAGTGTTAGACCATTTACATATTTACCTAGAAGTAGAGAAATGAATCGGGACGAATCCAGAACTTTATTTCAGGACGTGATAAAAATAAAAAATATCGCAGAATTGTCAATGAAATTACCGTTCACAACTTTGCAGTTGTTGCACAATCGCATATGTTCATTCGCACAATGACCTTCCAGTACAAACAGGAGCAAACTTGTCAACAACAGTATCATGTTATACACGAATCGTCTACAGGTTCGTCACCATGCACACTCCAAACATATCTACTTACTGTACATAGACTAGATGGCTTAGAACTGTCGTCAATTTTTCTGTTTCTTTTTCGACGCGCCCACGTCTTGTTCTTCATGGTGCTGCCGTATGAGGCGCTCCTGCACCGCTGGCTTGCAAGGCGCATACCTCACATACTCCATGCTGAATTCCCCCTTCCCCTGCGTGGCAGAGCGCAGTTCCGTCGCGTAACCAAACATGTCATTCAACGGCACCTGGGGCAAAACCACAAACAGAAAATAATTGAAAAAATAAAAAATAACAAGTGCCGCAGAGCGACAGGGCTCACCTGACGGCAGGTGTTCTGATGCTAAACTCACTGCCTGCCAAACGAATCAAGAGCACCCTCCCATCGCCGCGTTCGCTCTCCCTCGTTGTCTCTCTCATTCTTTCTCTTATCGCTACTCTCGTCTCTTGCTCTCATGCTTGCAGCTTCGGCGCGTGCTCTCTCTTCTCTTGCTGATCACACTCGATCTCTCATGCTTGCTGCGATCAGACAACCTAGCTCGTACTACTCATATCATCTGTCTCTCTCTGCTTCTCTCTCATTCGCTCTCTCTTCCCTTCACATGCTCTCTCATATCCTCTCTCTCTCTCGTCTGCTCGGCTCACAGCTCACTCTCTCGTACGTTGTACTCTCTCTTTCTTTGTCTTTTCTCTCTCTCTCTCTCCTCATCTCTTGCATCTCCTCCACCTTTCGCAAAGGAAGGCAGTGGCGAGAGAGAAGAGCGTCAAAGAGTGGATAAAAGAAGAGGGCGAGAGGGAAAGAGGACAATCAATTTCTCTCTCATCTCATCATCTCTCTCTCTTCTTATCTCTCTCTCTCTCTCTCCCTTCTCGTCTCTCTCAACCTCTCTCTCCTCTCTCTCTCTCCCTCCTCCTCTCGTCTCGTGCTCTTATCTCTCGTCTCTCTCCTCTCATCTCCTCTCTCTCTGCTCTCTCGTGCTCATCTTCTCCCTCTTCTCATGCTCTGTCATCTACTCATCTCTCATCTCCTCTCTCTCCTCTCGTCTCTCTCTCTCTCTCTCTCTCTCTCTCTCCTTCTCTTCCTCCTCTCTCTTCTCTCTCTTTCTCTCTCTCCTTCTTCTCCTCCTCTTCTCTCTCTCCCTCTTGCTCTCTCTCTCTCTCTCTCTTCTTCTCTCTCTCTCTTCTCCTTCTCTCTCTCTCTCTCTATCTCTCTCCCTCCTCTCTCTCCCTCTCTCTTCTCTCTTCTCTCTTCCTCCTCTCTTCTGTCTCTTCTCTCTCTCCTCTCCCTCTCCTCTCTCCTCCTCCTACCTTCTCTTCTCCTCTCTCTCTCTCCCTCTCTCTCTCCTCTCTCCTCTCATCTCTCCCCTTCCTCTCCTCTCCTCCCCATCTCTCCTCCCTCTCCATCTCACCCTCCTCCTTCCCGTCTCCCTCTTCTCTTTCTCTCCCCTCACCTCTCTCTCTCTTCTCTCTCTCCTTGTGCATTCCCCTTGCATCCCCGTCCTCCTCTTCCTCTCTCCCATCTCTCCCCCTCCGCTCCTCTCTTTCTCCTCCCTATTCTTCCCTCCTCTCCTCTCTCTCCTCTCTCTCTCTCCTCTCTTCTCTCTCTCCTCTCTCTCTTCTCTCTCTCGATCTCTCTCTCCTTCTCGTCTCTCTTCCTCTCTTCCATCTCTCTTCCTCATCTCATCTCTCTCACTCTCTCTCTCATCATCGTCCGCCTCTCTCTCTGCTCCTCTCCTCCCACTCTCTCTCACCTCCCGCCCGCGCTCCTCATCTCTCCTCTCTCTCCTCCTCT